GGTAGAATTCACCCATGAATTTTTCTTTAAGCCTGAGCCATTCAAAATATACTTTTTGAAAAATTACCTTTTGAGAAGTGAGACTCAAAAGACAAATGTTGATACTATTGTAGAATACCAGTAGGATTCATTCATTTATAAAAGAGAAGAGATAATACAACTCCCAAAATGTAAATATTACATGCAAGCAATTTTCATGAGACCACACAAACTAATTGTCCTTAAGAATTTCATCTTTATTAAGGAAAGACTTTTTGACTGTACTAACAAAAAAGAAAGTTTAAATTGTCATTTGAGCAGAGTCTGATATAAGGACACTATCAAATCACAGGTCAGATGGCAGGTGATGAGGAAAGCAGAGAGCACATGAGGAGGATATGCAAAACTCAGAAGTAGAAGATTCTAGACTGGACCGAAACAGATGTGATTCACTTAACCATTCAACAATGAATCTAAGTCTATTTAAATTGATGTTAATATCAACCTCACCTAAGTGTTTCCCCTAAATTCTGGAAAATTTTATAAAACATCAAAATTATTTGTTGAAGAAAAATAAATTTAGAGAAACAACTTGCAGTGGCAACTACAAAGAAGAACTTTTCTTTAAAGTGTGAGAGTCACGCCTCGGCAAGAGCCTTCTGTTTATGGCTGCTGTCACTAAGAGCAGCCCTGCCCTTTCCAGCAGCAGAGCTGCGGCACAGCCACCACCACTTGAATATTGCCCTGGGGGCCTGAGAATCACTCCACCGCTGCCTACCAGAGCCAGGACCCACACACACCACTGGGGGCCTGAGGAGAGGCCTGCCCAGCCAGGCTCCACCCTCCTCAGTGCCTGAGCCCACTGTCTGATGGGTCTGGGATTGCCCTGACCCATCCACCACTGTTGGCACCTGAGCACTCCTCCTGGGGGCCTGAGGATTGGCCCACCCAACCTGCCACTACCACCACAACTGGCATCCCCACACGCACACCACCTGCAGGCCTGGGGACTGGCCCACCCCACCCATCACAGCTGCTGCCATCACCAATGCAGACTGCTTGGGAACCAGAGGGTTGACGACAAAACTGCTACTGCCATCACCCATACAACACTTGCTGCCCAGGGACCTGAGAACTTGCCCACCCACCTGGCCCACTCCTGGCACTGGTGGAACCCAAGCAAGCTGCCTGGAGACCCAAGAATTAGCCCATCTGGACCAAGTGAAACCAGTACCAGTGTATGCCACCCTGGCATCTGTGCTCAGTCTGCTGCTGCCACCTCTGGGGACAAAGGAATAGCCCACCTGACATCTCTATCTGAAGCAAAACTTCACCACAGCCTCCACTAGCAACCACATCCTAAGTCACTGAAGAAATCACAGGCATTACTGACACTATTTACAGCTGAAGAAATCATACAGAGACTACACTACTGCATGCACCTAGAATCAAAGCCAAAGTGCCCTACCCAACCAATAGGAAAAATCCTCCCCTGTGAAAACAAATACAAAAAATTAGAAGAGAATGTTACACCAGATATTACACCAGATACGCAGATATCAATGTGAGGACAAAAGAAAGACAAAAAAGCAAAGAAATGTGACACTTCCAAAGGATCACAATAATTCTCCAGCAACAGACTCCAATAAAAAAGAAATGTATAAAGTTCCCCAAAAAAGAATTCCAAATAATCATATTAAAGAAGCTCAATGGGCCGGGCGCAATGGCTCATGCCTGTAATCCTAGCACTCTGGGAGGCCGAGGTGGGTGGATCACTCAAGGTCAGGAGTTCGAGACCAGCCTGAGCAAGAGCGAGACCCTGTCTCTACCAAAAATAGGAAGAAATTATCT